AAAAAATATATTTATTAATTATATAAAAATATATAAGATATAAATATGAAATAAATGTTATATTATTTTTTTTTGTACTTGTTTTCATATTCGTATTTTATAAAAATTTAAAATTATATTTATTTATATTTATATAATATAATATTTGTTTTTATTTTCGTTCAGATGAAAAATTATATTGTTTATTAAATATGAATAAAATTCAGATCCCATGCCTCTTGAAAGCGTCGTGTCAGAAAACCACTGTTTGCGCCGTGGATGATACGGAAAACACCTTATTTTTTTTTTAGAAACAGTGAAAAAGATTCCACCGACGAAGAAACAAACAAAACTTTAACAAACCAGTTAAAGGCACTGTTAAAGCGCACGTGACCTGCATGTGCGATCAATTTGTTGCTAAATGCATGTGCCATTGCACTTTTATTTACTGGTTAAATAATTTAGTAAAAGAAAAAGATGCCTGGGCCCTTCTCTTGCTGTCTTTCACAAGGATTTGAATAAAAAAAATGGAAATGACAATACTAAAAAAATTAATAGGTTTTTAATGTTATTTATTTTGACTTTGATTTTAATTTTTAAAATTAATTTCTTCATAATTTTTACAAACTTTTGAAATTATATTTCAAAAAATTATTTGATAAATTTATAATGAAATTTTTTAATTTTATAAATTATATTAAAATAATAATACATATCTTATTTTTTAAATTAAATTTTTTAAATATATAAAATATATATTATCATTTTAATTTCATTTATAAAATTAAAAAATTTTATTGTTAATATATATAATAAAATTTTTTATATTTTTTATACAACTCTTCGAACAATTTTTTTGATTTTTGTTAAATTTATAAAACAACTATTAAAATTATCCTAAATGTCAAATTATGAAATTTGTCTCTTTATTTTAATTAAAATGAAGATTTAGTTTGTGGGGCACTAAATCTTGTATCGCATGTTGCATAATTTGATACAGAATGTAATCCCGTGAAAACCAACCAAATCAAGTTGGTGAGAAAATCACTGCTGAAAAATAATTAAAAAAAAAAAACAAAAGTAACAGGACCAAAAATTCAAAAGTGAATGTCATATCTCACTACAAAAGCTGTAAAGAACAAGCTGGCAATCTTGATAACGATCAGATTTCTTCGAAAGAAAAGAAAAAAATATTAAAGGTGTGAACTTAAATGCGTTTCTCCCAAGACAAGGAAATGATGGTACATTGGACCCTTGTCAAGTTGTCTTCCACTTAAGGTTTTCGTAATAATAATAATAATATTATTATTATTAAAAGACTCCAAAAAACCTAAAGAAGTCTTTGATGTATTTTTTTTTAGGTAGTTTTAATTAATTACAAAGACTTTAAGTAGAACTTTTTTATATTTGTGGATCTTTAAGACCTATGCATTCCTCTTGCTATTACATTATTATTTATTGGTTGAATAATTTAGGAAAAAAATGAAAAGAAAAGTGAAGCGAAACTCCATAAGAGAAGGATATTTGGGTCCTTGTCTTTCATTAATTCTTTCATCTTTCTAATTTAAGGTACATTAAAAGATTTACTTCAAAGAGCTGTTCACAAATTTTCGTATCTCAAATTTAAAGATTTCATATGTATACTCAAAAATTAGATAAAAAAAAATTTATGAAAGAATTTTTTTATTAAAATAATTAAAATTGATACTTTAAATTAGGTTTCATAGATAATATGGGAATATATATATATATATAGCACATATCTCAATCTCATTACAAATGATTAGAAATAATTAAATCTCAATTTGTGTTGATGAAATTATTTTTCCTGTTTTGTTCTAATTAAGTTTAAAGCATGCTGGTTATAATTAATATTTAATTAGTTAACCATAGAATTAGCTTAGTAGCAAACTACCATAAGTAGAATTGTCTTTGTCTTTGCAAATAACAGAATTTCATTTAGAGTGGATGAAATAATTTTTTGAAATTAATTTCGTATTATTTAAGAAAAGAAAGAATCAACTTAGCTCACCATTCATTGGTTTTACGATTTCAATGGTTTCATGAAAATCCCCTCCCCAACCGTGAGTCCATGTATTTTAAGAAGGAAAAATAGTAAATGGTTTGAGATTTGGAGTTGGGGAATTTTTCTTTGTGTGAAAACTTCATGTACAACTATCAATTATCAAGCAATTTTTATCTAAGAAAATAATAGAAAATTTTATTCTAAGATTTTAATTTTGATAAATTACTATAAATAGTGAAGTTTCACCGCATATCAGCTAAGATAATCTAATTTAAAAAATATAATCTGTAATAAAATTTTTTCAATTAAAGATTAGGTTTATATTTTTAAAAACGTAGTTTTTACAAATTATCTTTTTAAACATCAATTAAAGTTTGTGTTCTTAATTGTATTTTGTTTCAATTAGATATTATGTTTTTTATTTTATCATATATATATATTCTTTTTTTGAAAAAAAATATATTTTTATCATAATAAACTAGCTTATTTTTAATAATATAAAAATAAAAACCTTTTTATATTTTAATTGTTTAATACCTGTCACATGTTTAATTTTAATAATATAATAGTAATTAAAATAATTATCACGTGATTATTCACATGTAAAGAAAATCATTATAATAAAAATCTTTTATTAAGTAATTTAATTTTTTTTGAATCAAATATAAAAATTTAATATTTGAATAACATAAAAAATCATTTCTTATTGAAAATTTACACTTATTCAAAAATCATTTTATCTGTTAAAATTTAAAATTTCGTAAATAAAATTCTCTTTTATAAAAATATAAACAGACTTTAGCTAGCTCTCTTCCATTAAAATTTGAATAACAAAAAAGGGTAATAATTATAACAAAAGAGAATCCAAGAAAATTGCGTGATATTCGGCTCTTAAGTTATTTGAAAGGGAATTTAAAAATTGGAATCGAATGAAACAAGAAGTTAGTGTCAAAATTAATGCTACACAGTTTAATATTTGAAATTGAGGGTGGCATTTCGTTAAAGCTAAAGATCAAACAACGTGGAAATGTGGATTTCAAGATAAGGGAATATGTCAGGGTGAGGGGGTGGTCCCCGACGTAGACCAAATACAAAGCCCTTGCTCCCCTCGTAAGTCGTAATTGGTTGTTGTCTCTCATTCGTTTATTTTTAGGGACGCGAAAGACTAGGATACGGGAAAGATAAAATATTTATTATTTTTATTTATATATTTATATATTATATTTATTTTCATATTTATATTTAATAAAATTTTAAATTTATTTTATTTTTATAAATATTTAATAAATATGAGTAATTTTTATTTTTATAATCTTTAAAAAATAAAAAATTATTTTTTTATTTTTAATTTGTATTTATAGATAATTTTTAATAAATATCTATTAATATATATTTTTAATAAAAATATATTTATTTTAATTAATTTAAAATAATAATTTATATTATTTAATAAAAAACTTATTTATTAATTATATATAAATATGTATAAAATATAAATATGAAGCAAGTGTTATATTATTTTTCTATACTTATTTTCATATTCGTATTTTATAAAAATTTAAAGTTATATTTATTTTTATTTATATAATATAATATTTATTTTTTATTTTCGTTCAGATGAAAAATTAATTTTTTTATTAAATATGAATAAAATTGAGATCTTATGCCTCTTAAAAGCATCGGTGACTGTTTGCGCCGTGAATGATAAGGAAAAAACCTTTTTTTTTTTTTAGAAAGACTAAAAAAGATTACACCAACAAAGAAACAAACAAAAATTTAACAAACCTGTTAGGGACCGTTAAAGCGCACGTGACCTGCATGTGCGGTCAATTTGTTGCTAATCCATGTGCCATTGCACTTTTATTTACTGGTTAAATAATTTAGGAAAAGAAGTAGATGCTTGGCCCCTTCTCTTGCTGTCTTTCACAAGGATTTGAATAAGAAAAATGGTAATGACAATGCAGAAAAATTAATACGTTTTTAATTTTTTTTATTTTGATGTTGATTTCAATTTTTAAAATTAATTCATTCATATTTTTTCACAAAATTTTGAAATTATATTTTAAAAAGTATTTGATAAATTAATAGTAAAATCTTTTAATTTTACAAATTAAATTAAAATGATAATATATATTTTTTAAATTAAAATTTTTAAATATATAAAAAATGTGTCATTATTTTAATTTCGTTTATAAAATTTTAAAAATTTTACTGTTAATGTATTTAATAAAATTTTTTATATTTTTATACAACTTTTCAAATAATTTTTTTTAATTTATGAAACAACTATTAAAATAATCCATAAATATCAAATTATGAAATTTGTCTCTTTATTTTAATTAAAATGAAGATTTAATTTGTTCGGCATTAAATCTTGTATCGCATGTTGCATAATTTGACACACAATGTAATCCCGTGAAAACGAACAAAACCAAGTAGTTGAGAAAATTACTGCCGAAAAATAATTTAAAAAAAGTAACAAGACCAAAAATTCAAAAGTGAATGTTAGATCTCACTAACAAAAGCTGTGAAGAACAAGCTGGCAATCTTGATAACGATCAGATTTTCTCGAAAGAAAGAAAAAAAAAATGAAAGGTGTGAACTTAAAATATATTTCTCCCAAGACAAGGAAATGCAGTAATTTTATAATAATAATAATAATAATAATAATAAACTTCAAAAAAAATTAAAATAAGTCTTTGATGCAATTTTTAAAATAATTTAATTAATTACAAAGAATTTAAGTAGAACTCTTTTATATTTGTGGATAGTTTTTTTTTTTTTTTCATTTGAAGCAAAGTTGCTTGTATTTCATGAGTTTTCTTAAAACTCGTAAGAAAATTGGAATTAACAGAAATGTATCACTTATATTAATAGAATATTTTTAAAATATTATTATTTTATTATTTTTATTTAAAAATCAATAAATTAAAAATCCAATGACAAAGTTTAATATTAAACCGTAATATAGTGATCAATTAAAAAAGGTACAGCTCCCAAGAAAAGAAAGAGACGATCAGGCCCTTGTCTAATCGTCTTCCACTAAGGATTAGAATAAGAAAAATAGTAATTACAATAATAATAAACAAAGACTCCAAAAAAATTAAAGAAGTCTTTGGTGAAACTTACTTTTCTTTGTAGTTTCAATTGGTCAGCGAAGTCTTTGATGGTTCAATTTTTTATTCAATTGAAGCAAAGTTGTTGGATCTTGAAACTTCACATTTCTTTGTTATTTCTATCTTTTCTTCTTTTGTATTGCTGCCTAACCTTTCGCTTACAGCTCTCTCCTCAAACAGTTTCCATCGAGGCAATCAAGCATCGTCTTCTATCATTATCTCCACATCTTCCAGCTAGCTAGAGTACCAAATCCTTTGCTTGATTTCTGCTTTATTGCTCTTCTTTTTATAACTCAACAAAAAAATTTTGGTGCTTTTTTAATTTCCTTGATTTTCTACTTTGCTTTTATAACTAAAAAAAGCGTTCTTTTTTTTTTTTTTTGGCTTTTATTGATTTCTAATTTTCTGTTCTTTTAACAGGGAAATAGAAAAAAAAAAAACTGGTCCTTGATTTTCCATTACAGATCCATACAGCTTTTGAAGATCCATCTCAAGTGAGGTATGCTTCAATAAACCATTATATATAAATTTTATTCTCCATAATTTTTGCTATGCTCAACTTCATTTCTCGTTTGCCTCGATTAGTCTTCGTTTTTTCACTTTCTTACTTGTTTATGAATTTACTTAAAAATAAAAAATAATAAAATATATATTTTAAAATTTTAAAATAATTAGTATCTCTTAAAATAGCTAAAAGTATTATTAAACAAAAATATGATTCTATATAAATTAATAAAATATTAACATAAAATAATTTCAAGGAAAATATAAAAGAATTATTTTTTAAAATGAAAGAATAAAAAATATTGATGTAAAGATGTGAGATCTAGAAAAAATAAAATTTGTTTCAATTGACATAAAATTTATTAAAAATATTGCAACATTTTAAAAAATAAGTTATGAAAAATTTAAAACTAATAAAAGGTAAGAATAAGGTTTTACTTGATATAGAAAATGAAAAGGGGTAAGGATACAACTTTTTAATTTAAAGTATACAATAAAAAAATATTATAAATTTTAATTATTGGATTAATAAGTTTTTCACTCATGATTTTTTTTATCTTTAATTTTAACCAAGCAAAATTTAAGTGTTGAAAGATATTATTTTAACATAAATAATTACATTAGTAATGTAAAATTTAAATTAATTATTTTTTTAATTAATAGATATATAACATCAATGGCTAAACAAATACTTTCAAGGCTAAAATGATAACATAAAAAGTTAATATTTTAAAATTTATTGTAAAAAATTATTAATGTAAATAATTGAGAAGAATAATAAAATTTATAGCAGTTAGTTTAAAATAAGTTAAAAGTGATGTAATAACTCAAGATAAAATTATAAAAATTTTAAATATGATAGAAAGATAAAAATAAATCGTAAAAAGATATTTTTTAACATAAATGATTAAGTTGTTATGTAAAATTTAAATTAATTATATTCATGTAAATTTTTTTTTGGGCAATGACTAAAAAATACTTAAAAGTTAAAAAATTAATTTTTGAAAATAAAATATCAAAAAAATTATTAATGTAAACATGTGTGAAAAATTATAAAATTAGTATAATTTGTTGTAAAATAGGTCATAAGTATTATAAAAAAAAGTTATAAATCTTTTAACATAAATAATTAAGAAAAAAAGTATAAAAATTATTATTTTAACATAAATAATTAAGTTTGAAATGTAAAATTTAAATTAATAATTATTTTTTTTGTAAATTTTTTAAGCCAATGGCTAAAAATACTTTAAAGGCTAAAAAGTTAATGTTAAAAAAGTAATATTAAAAAATTTAAAATTTTAAAAATTTAAAAAAGTGTCGTAACATTAAAATAAACATTTATAAAAATTTAAAATGTAATAAAAAGTAAGAATAAACATAAATATTTGAGAATAATAATAAAATTCATATCAATTAAGGTAAAAGGAGTTAGAAATATTTTTTTTTAAAAAATTACTAGTGTAAATAAATGAGAAGAATAATAAAATTCATATCAATTAGTATAAAATGATTTAGAAGTATCATAACATCATAAAAAAGAGTTATGAAAATTTTAAACATAATAAAAGATAAAGAATAAACGTAAACATGTAAGAGTAATAAAATTCATATTGATGTAAAATATGTTAAAAATATCGTAATGGATTAAGAAATGGCTATAAAAATTATAATCATAATATAATATAGAGTAGATGTTAGACAATATTATTTTAATATAATAATTAAATTGGTAATGTAAAATTTAAATTAATTATTTTTTTTATAAAATAATTTTAGGTTAATCGCTAAAAATATTTTAAGGTCTAAAAAAGAAAATGTTAACAATTAATATTTGAAAATAAAAACAAACTTCTTTAAAAAAAACTTAATAACATAAACAAATAAAAAAGATAATAAAATTAATATCATTTGACGTAAAATGAATTAAAAGTGTTATAACACCTTAAGAATGATAAATGAAAATAAGAATAAAGTAGGCAACATAAAATTTAAATTAATTATTTTTCCAGTAAATAGTTAAGATAAATGGCTAAAAAATACTTTTAAGGATAAAAAACGTAAAAAGATTGATATTTTTAAAATTAAAAATTTCATAAAAAGTATTAACTTAAACAGGTAAGAGGAATAATAAAGACATTAACTTAAATAATGTTGCTATATCTTTTTGGCTTTCATTGCTTTCTACTTTCTTTTTCATTTTTAATGATAAAAAAGTACTGTATTATTTTGTTTCATGCTATATCTATTTTGATTTGCTTTTAGCTCCAAAGAAAGAAAAAAATAATTTCATGTACTTCTAATTTTATTGTTGTTGATTTTTTTACCATTTCTTTTTAAATTTCTATTTAGGCTGGTCCTTAATTTTCCCTTCCTAATGATCTCTGGAGTTGGTGATGTAAAACGTCCACATACTTCAATTTAGAATATCCATTCCTAGGTAGGTAAGCTTAAATAATATATATATATATATATTTATTTATTTTCCATAATTTGTTATTTGCTCCATAGTTCTTTACTTGTTTCTTTCCCTACCATATTTAAATAAAAACTGCATTTATACTATGCCTTTACTCTAAAACATTATGATATATTCTTAATATACACGTGCACGAACACCGAAGAATTTCTACTATTTGCAGAATTTTCAATTTGCAAGTTGATCCATCAACAATTGTTTCTGTTTGTGACTGTAATCCATTAGAGCAAATCTTTGATTTTCTCAATGGAATGGATGAGCTGGAGGTACCTCTTCTCTTTTCAATTCTCTATTTCTTTTGCTTATATTATTCCCTATCAGACAAAATAGCTAAAAGAGTAAATGGATGGAGAGTTGAGATAGAAAATTTTGTATTTGTGTGAAAAATCTATTTACAACCATCAATTATCAAATAATTGTTAAGTTATAAAAGAATAAAAAATCTTATAATAAGATTTTACTTTTGATAAATTAGTGTAAGCTGTAACCTTTGCAGTTTTGCAGTACATCAGCTAAGATAATCTAAAAAACTATTTTTTTCATACGTTAAGATAAATCAACGGAGGAAATAAATAAGATTTTGAATCATTAAATCTTTCAACGCGTAGGGCATAATTCGACGCAGAATCTAATCCCACGAAAAGCAACCAAAAAAAACAAAAAAAAAAAAACAGAGAAATTAGTAGTTGTTGAAAAATAATTGAAAGAAGACAAAAATAAAGGGGTAAAAAATTTAGAAGTGCGTTAATGATGCCACGTCCCACTAGCATCAATAGATCAGTTTTCTTCAAAAAATCGAACGAGCACCCAAAAAAAAAAAAAAAGTAAAGGTATGACCCAAAAGCATTGCTCCCAACTTCCAGGAAAAGTAAAAGACACTTGGGCCCTTGTCTAGGTGTCTTCCAGCAAAGATTTGAACAAGGAAATGGTAATAATAATGATGACAAAAGAGAACCCAAAGAAGTTAAACAAGTCTTTGATGAAACATTTTTCTGTGGCTTCAATCGGTCACAAAGATATGAAGCACAACTTCTCAATCTTTTTGATAATTGAAGCTTTTTGTTCATTTGAAGCAAATTTGGTTTTTACTTCAGTTTTCTTTGAAAAAAAAACCTGTGGGGAACGAAATAAAAAGCTCCATCTTGGATCCTGAAAATTCATATTTGTTAGGTATATTTATTTTTTTTTAGTTTCTCTCTCTACAATAAAAGAAACAAAAATAGTATTGCTGTATAATTTTTTGGTTCTTTGATTTTTATTTTTTATTTTGTTTCATGCTATATCTATTTTGATTTGCTTTTTAACTCCAAAAAAAGAAAAAAAATCAATGTTCTTATAATTTTGTTGCTGCCAATCGTTATTTCCTTTTTTTTTTAATTTCTATTAAGGTTGGTCCTTACTTATCCTGTCTCTCAGGAGTTGATGATGTAAAAAGTTCTCACAGCTTAATTTAGATCCCCAATTACGTATGCTTAAATAATTATTTTTATTTTCATTTGGTTCGGTCTGTACTTAACTTTTTTTTTTTTAATTTTACTGACATATTTTATATATGAAATCTATACATAGGCTGGTCCTCGAATTTGCTTCACAGGTCTATGGAGTTGGTGAAGTAAAAGGTCCTTATAGCTCTTGAAGATCCATCCCAAGGGAGGCATGCTCCAATAAACCATTTCTATTTTATTCTCCAAAATTGAGAAAATAATTTGATAGAATCATCGAAATATATACTATGCCTTTACTCTAACACATGTATGGTATATTCCTTATATATATGCGCATGAACACTTAAGAATTTCTACCATCTACAGATTTTTCAATTTCCAAGTTGATCCATCAACAATTGTTTCTGTTTGTTACTGTAATGGATTAGATCAAGTCTTTGATTTTCCCAAAGAAATTGGTGAGCTTGAGGTACCTCTTCTCTCTCCATTTCTCTATTTCTTTAACTTAATTTTTTTTCCTATCAGACAAAATAGTTAAAAGGGTAAATGGTTAAAGAGTTAAGATAGGGAATTCTGCATTTGTGTGAATAATTTATTTGCAACTATCAATTATCAAATAATTGGTACCTTATAAAAGAATAGAAAATCTTATTATAAGCCGTTTTCTAGTTGTCTTACACTAAGGATTTGAACAAGGAAAATGGTAATAATGATGATAAAAGAGAATCAAAAGAAATTAAAAAAGTCTTTGATCAAACTTTTCTTTGTAGGTTCAATCGGTCACAAGGATTTCCAGCACAACTTATCAATATTTGTGGATACTTGAAGCTCTTTGTTCATTTGAAACAAGGTTGGTTTCTACTTAAGTTTTCTTTGAACTCAAAAAAAAGAAAAAAAAAAACTGCGTGGATCCTGAGAATGCATGTTTCCTAGGTATATTTATCTTGTTTGCTGTGTTTTTCTCTCTAGAATGAAAGAAAATAGTGTTGCTGTATATATATATATTTTGCTTTCTTTGCTTTCTATTTTCTATTTTGTTTTATGCTATATCTATTCTGATTTGCTTTTAACTTCAGAAACAAGAAAAAAATAATTCAATGTTCTTATAATTTTATTGCTGCTAATCTTTATTACCTTTTTCTTTTAATTTCTATTTAGGTTGGCCCTTAATTCTCCTTTCCTAATGATATCTGGAGTTGGTGATGTAAAGAGTCCACACAGTTTAATTTAGAAGATCCATCCCCAATTAGGTATGCTTAAATAATTATTTTTATTTCCATTGTTTTTTATATGCTCAAAAGTTGTTTACTTATTTGTTTCCCTGGCATATTTAAAGAAAAAAAAAACTGCATTTATAAGGAAAAAAGTGAAATAAATAGATTCATTTAAAAATTGAGAAAATATTAGATAGATTAATGATAAAAATATATACTATGCCCTTAATCTAAGACATGTAACGTATATTCTTAATATATGCATGAACACTGAATAATTTCTTCCATCTGCAGAATTTTTATTTCCAAATTGATCCATCAACCATTTGTTCTCTTTTACTTTCATTTTCATGGAGCGATATATTGCTCCCAAAGTAATTAAGATACTTCGCAGCATATCAGCTCATATAATCTAAAAATTTACTTCTTTCAAGTGGTAGGATGAATCAATGGAGGAAAAAAAAAAAAAACCAAGAGATTTAGAATCATTAACCCTTTCTTTTGTTTGTTTGGTCATTAAATCTAATTGCATTGCATGGGGCATAATTTGATACAGAATCCAATCCATGAAAACCAACAAAACTGAGTAAGTGAGAAAATTATTATTGAAAAATAAATTTAATCCATGAAAACCAACAAAACCGAGTAGGTGAGAAAATCATTGCTGAAAAATAATTGAAAAAGGAGAAAAATAAAGGGATCAATAATTCAAAAGTGAGCTTGAGGTGCCTCTTTTCTCTCCGATTCTCCATTTCTTTTACTTATTCTTTTTTCCTGAGACAAAATAAAAAGTATAGCTAAAAGAGTAAATGGTTAGAGAGTCGAGAACTTGAGATGACGAATTACGCATTTGTGTGAAAAATCTATTTATAACTACTCATTCCGTTCCTTATTTTTTTTTTTTTTGCTATTTTTTTGGGATGTTACATATATATCCTATTTCTTTTTTTAAAATCTAAAATTCTTATTTAATTTTTTATATTTTAAATTATTTTTTATTTTTTTAACATAAAAAATTATGAAATTTTAATTTTATACAAAATTAAATTTTAATATTATATATATTAAAATCAAAGTTTTTTTTTTTTTAATTTCGTAAAAATTAATATATGAGAAATATTTTTAAACGAAAGTAATATCAATTATCAAATAATTATTGTCTTAAAAAAATAAAAATTCTTACTATAAGATTTTAATTTTGATAAATTTGTGTAAGCTGTGGAATTTCCCAGTATATCAGCAAATGATGATATGAAAAACTATTTCTTTCATACGTTAGGATAAATCAACGGAGGAAATAAACAAGATTTTGAATCATTAAATCTTTCAACGCATCGAATTTAATCCATGAAAACCAACAAATAAAGTAGGTGAGAAAGTGATTGTTGAAAAATAGTTGTGAAAAGATAAAATAAAGGGGTCAATAATTCAAAAGTGCATCAATGGTGCCATGTACCACTACCATCAATAGATCAGTTTTCTTCAAGGAAAAAAAAAAATTGACCGAGCACAAAAAAGAAAAGTAAACGTGTGACTTGAAGGCATTGCGCACCCGACTCCCAACAAAAGGAAAAGATGCTTGGGCCCTTGTCTAGCTGTCTTTCATTAAGGATTTGAGCAAGTAAAATGATAATAACGGTGATAAAAGAGAATCCGAAGAAATTAAACAAGTCTTTGATCAAACTTTTCTCTGTAGTTTCAATCAGTCACGAAAATTTCAAGCACAACTTCTCAATATTTGTAAATACTTGAAACTCTTTTGTTCATTTCAAATAAGGTTGCTTTCTACTTAAGTTTTCTTTGAACTCAAAAAGATAAAATAAAATAAAATAAAAACTGTGTGGATAGAAATAAAAAGCTTGATCTTGAATCCTGAAAATTCATATGTCCTAGGTATATTTGTCTCTTTTTTTTTTTTTTGTGTTTTTCTCTCTACAATAAAAGAAGCAAAAATAGTATTGCCGTATAATTTTGTGGTTTCTTTGAGTTCTATTTTCTATTTTATTTCATGCTATATCTATTCTGATTTGCGTTTAACTTCAAAAAAAGAAAAAAATAATTCAATGTTCTTATAATCTTATTGTTACTATTCTTTATTTCCTTTTTCTTTTAATTTCTATTAAGGTTGATGATGTAAAAAATTCTCACAGCTTAATTTAGAAGGTCCATCCCCAATTTGGCATGCTTGAATAATTATTTTTATTTCCATAATTTTTTATATGCTCAAAAGTTGTTTACTTGTTTGTTTCCCTACCTTATTTTAAATAAAAGACTGCATTTATAAGGAAAAAAATGAAAAAAATGGATTTATTTAAAAATTGAGAAAATATTAGATAGATTAATGATCAAAATATATACTGCCTTTACTCTTAACACATGTAACATATATTCCTAATATACGCATGAACACTGAATAATTTCTTCCATTTGCATAATTTTCAATTTCCAAGTTGATCCATCAACAATTTTTCTCTTCTACTTCACAATTAGCTCTCAAAGTAATTAAGGTACTTTGAAAACATTCACAATTGCTTTTGTCTCTCTAGCTGTTTATGTTAGGCCAAAAGGCTTCAATCTAATCACGTCAGCAGAAGCGAAATCAAATAATTAATTAAATACACAAAAGATAATAATTTAATACAATAATTTAACGTAGTTCGGTTCAACTGATTTACGTTCATGGATAAAAAATAAAATTTACTAGTTGTAGAGAATTACAAACATACATCATAACATATCAATTACTCAACAATCAATACCTATAGACTTTTTTTTAGTTGTTAGTAGATCAGGTTTGGAGTAGATGATCTTGAGTTGGACTGAAACAAATATATTTGTGTGTTCTTATTCTTAATTTGAGCTTGTTATTTTGTGTATAGGTTTTGCGTGTGCGTGTTGATTTTTCCGACAGTTTATATGTTTACTAATCATTAAAGTTGTTTTTCAATCTCAGATCATCAAAGAATGGCTGCTGAATTTGCTGCCTCTGCTGCTGCCAATGCTGTAGGAAATCTCACAACAGAATATGCATCACCTTATGTTAGTTACTTTTTCCGATTTGGGAAAATTGTTGAAGAATTCAAGAATCGGAGAAAAGAACTTGAATTGAAAAGTGATCGGGTAAAAAATGATGTCGAAGAGGCTATAAGGCAAAATGAGGTAATTGAGGAGGATGTCCAACACTGGCGAAAACGGGCAGAGAAAGAACTGGAAGAAACCCAGTGTCTGGAAGCTCAAATAGAACGTATGAAGTGTTTCAATTGGTGTCCAAGCTGGGGTTGGCGATATTGCTTAAGTAAGAAAGTGGCAAAGAAGACGATCTCTATCGATAAACTTCTTGTGAGTTGTAACTTTCCACGGGTGGGCCACCGTAAGCCTCCAGAAGGAATAGAATTCTTCCCCTCTAAAGATTTCATGCCTAATGAGTCTTCAAATTTTACTTTCAATGAGATCATCAAGGCTCTAAATACTGATGGTGTGAACATGATTGGATTGTATGGAATGCCAGGGGTGGGTAAAACAACTTTGGCAAAAGAAGTTGGGAGGCATGCTAAAGAGCAAAATCTCTTTGACAAAGTTGTGATGGCTACAATGTCCCAAACGCCAAACATCAACAAAATTCAAGATAAAATTGCAGAATTATTAGGTTTGAAATTTGAAGTAAGCACGGAAGAAGGAAAAGCAGAAGAGTTATGGCGGAGATTGCAAGGCGTGGAGAAGATCCTCGTGATTATCGATGATGTTTGGAATCAATTTAAATTGCGGGCTGTAGGTATTCCATTCGGAGTTGAACACGAAGGTTGCAAAGTTCTTCTGACCACACGTCTTCAACAAGTCTGTGATCGTATGAATTGTCAACAGAAATTTCAACTTGACATCTTATCCGAAGGTGAAGCATGGACTTTGCTCGAAGATACTGCTGGTCTAAAAGATGTTTCTTCGAGATTGAAAGATGTAGCCAAGGAGGTTGCTAGTGAATGCATGGGTTTGCCTCTTGCAATTGTAACAATCGGAAACGCTTTAAAAGGTGCAAGTCTAGATGGGTGGCAAGCAGCAAATAAACGACTCAAGGACTCAAGACATTTAGACAATGAAGAGGTTTCTGAAGACATCTACAACTGCCTTAAGCTGAGTTATGATTATTTGAAGGGAGATAATATTCGAACATGTTTCTTGCTGTGTTCCCTTTTTCCAGAAGATTGGAATATTAAGATTGAGGAGTTGGTTATGTTAGCAATTGGTCATGGATTATTTTCTCATATTTTCTTTATTGAAGACTTGCGGAGAGAAATTCGTGAAGTACTAAGAAACCTCCAGAAGTCTGGTTTGTTATTGAGAACTGATGATGATGGTGATGAAAGATATGTAAGCATGCATGACGTGGTTCGTGATTTTGCTCATTGGATAACATCTACAGGGAAAAATATATTCATGGTAAAAGAGGGGTTGATGGAATGGCCTCCAAGTGAAAGTTGTGGATCTCATACAGCAATCTCCTTTTGGAACAGCAACATAAATATTTTTCCTGAAAAATTAGAATTTCCAGAACTCAAAATTTTGATTTTTACAGGAAAGACTTTAGTGAAAGTTCCGATTGCCTTTGTTGAAGGAATGAAAGCTCTCCGAGTTTTGCGTCTCGAAAATGTCATTTTCTCACTGGAAGTACTTAAATTGGTAACAAATCTTCGAACTCTGTGCCTTGTAAAATGCAGGTTGGAGAACATCTCATCGTTGGGAAATATGAAAAACCTTGAGATTCTTGCATTTTCTGGTACTAATATTTATGAGCTACCTGAAGAATTAGCGGCATTGCGTGGCCTAAAATCGCTACATTTTTTTTACTCTGGAAGAGAACAGATCAATTTTCCCCCTAATTTACTATCAAGGTAATAGTAGATGTCAATTATTTTATTTAATCATATTGCCCAAAATTAAGTATTTAGTTTTATGTTATTTTTTTTATTTACTTTATTAAATAATTTGACTTTAGACTATGGGAAAAATATCTACCTTAAGCTTTTGGTCACTCCCGTTATCATGAAGCATTCAGAGCTGTAGTCATTTCCATTAAAAAAAAATGCTATTATATAACATGATTGTCACATGAATTACAAAACAATAAAAAAATGCTCAAACCTTTTTTTATAAGAAAAGGTGCTGAAGAATCATGCTATATTTGCTGAGGTAATTAAAATTAAATTATGTTTACTTCTATTTTTATGATCCGCTTTAAGTGTTTGATAATACTTTTTTGTATTTGTGTGTAACAAATAGGTTGACATCACTCCAAGAACTATACGTGATATGTGAAAACAATGTTGACTTATCGGAGCTGAATTCATTGTCTTGTTTGACTGTGCTGTCACTGAGGGTTTCTACTGCTCAATGTTTTCCAGAAAACTTTGTGTTCCCTAAACTACAAAGCTACATTATAGTTGTAAACGAATATGTTCCATTTATGCGGGGGCCGAACTGTAGAGCCTTGGAAATTGTTGACTCAACGTCATTAAGTGCATGCAACAAGTTGTTCTGCAATGTGGAAAAGTTGGCTCTGGAGAATGTCATGGGACACAAAAATATTGTCCCAAACGTACATCCTGAGGGCCTCCAAAGTCTAAAGAATGCAACCATTCGGAAGTGCAGTGAATTGAAATCCATCTTCCCGCCTTGCCTTTCTCAAAGTTTGTTGCATCTACAAAAACTTGAAATATCTGAGTGCGATAGATTAGAACAAGTCTTTGATTTTCCCCAAGAAGTGGGAGAGCTTCTAAATGCAAGCCTCCAAAGTCTAAAGAATGCAACCATTCGGAAGTGCAGTGAATTGAAATCCATCTTCCCGCCTTGCCTTGCTCAAAGTTTGTTGCATCTACAAGATCTTGAAATATCTGAGTGCGATAGATTAGAACAAGTCTTTGATTTTCCTCCCCAAGAAGTGGGAGAGCTTGAGGTATCTGTTTTCTCTCCATTTTTCCTTTAATGGATAATGAGAAATTGCTAAACTTTATATATTGCTCATATAATTAACTTCTATTGAAGATTAGAAGAGATAAAGTTTAATTAAATTATATTAGTAACTAATCTAAATGTATATTTATTACATGACTTGCAAGTTGAGAAAACTAACATTATATATATATATATTTTTTCTCTTTGTTAGTACACTTTATAAAATCATTGTATTTTTTCTCTTTTTCTTATTCTTTTTAAATTGTATATTATTCAATAACTACTGTTATTGCCTTTGTATATAATGTTTTGTCCATATTTATTTGCATTTTCAATCAATGAATTCATGTCAGGTACGACCACTCTCTAATTTAACTTCTTTGGAGCTAAAGTCATTACCAGAACTAAAGTGGATATGGAAAGGGCCCACCCATCTTGTTAACCTCCAAAGTCTTAAGACTTTGAATATACGGGGGTGTGAGCAACTGGTATATCTCTTTTCGACTCCCCTTGCTCAAAGTTTGGTGCATCTACAAGAACTTGAAATATCTAGGTGCGATAGATTAGAACAAGTCTTTGATTTTCCCCAAGAAGTGGGAGAGCTTGAGGTATCTGTTTTCTCTCCATTTTTCCTTTAATGGATAATGAGAAATTGCTAAACTTTATATATTGCTCATATAATTAACTTCTATTGAAGATTAGAAGAGATAAAGTTTAATTAAATTATATTAGTAACTAATCTAAATGTATATTTATTACATGACTTGCAAGTTGAGAAAACTAACATTATATATATATATATATATATATTTTTTTTTTCTCTTTATTAGTACACTTTATAAAATCATTGTATTTTTTCTCTTTTTTTTATTCTTTGTTAAATTATATATTATTCAATAACTACTATTATTGCCTTTGTATGTAACGTTTTATCCATATTTATTTGCGTTTTCAATCAATGAATTCATGTCAGGTACAGCTACTCTCTAATCTAACTTCTTTGAAGCTAGAGTCATTATCAGAATTGAAGTGGATATGGAAAGGGCCCATCCATCTTGTTAACCTCCAAAGTCTTAAGACTTTGAATATACGGTGGTGTATGCAACTGGCATATCTCTTTTCGACTCCCCTTGCTCAAAGTTTGGTGCATCTACAAGAACTTGAAATATCTTGGTGCAATAGATTAGAACAAGTCTTTGATTTTCCCCAAGAAGTGGGAGAGCTTGAGGTATCTGTTTTCTCTCCATTTTTCCTTTAATGGATAATGAGAAATTGCTAAACTTTATATATTGCTCATATAATTAACTTCTATTGAAGATTAGAAGAGATAAAGTTTAATTAAATTATATTAGTAATTAATCTAAATGTATATTTATTACATGACTTGCAAGTTGAGAAAACTAACATTATATATATATATTTTTTTTCTCTTTATTAGTACACTTTATAAAATCATTGTATTTTTTTCTCTTTTGTTTTATTCTTTATTAAATTATATATTATTCAATAACTACTATTATTGCCTTTGTATGTAACGTTTTATCCATATTTATTTGCGTTTTCAATCAATGAATTCATGTCAGGTACAGCTACTCTCTAATCTAACTTCTTTGAAGCTAGAGTCATTATCAGAATTGAAGTGGATATGGAAAGGGCCCATCCATCTTGTTAACCTCCAAAGTCTTAAGACTTTGAATATACGGTGGTGTAATCAACTGGCATATCTCTTTTCGACTCCCCTTGCTCAAAGTTTGGTGCATCTACAAAAACTTGAAATATCTTGGTGCGATAGATTAGAACAAGTCTTTGATTTTCCTCCCCAAGAAGTGGGAGAGCTTGAGGTATCTGTTTTCTCTCCATTTTTCCTTTAATGGATAATGAGAAATTGCTAAACTTTATATATTGCTCATATAATTAACTTCTATTGAAGATTAGAAGAGATAAAGTTTAATTAAATTATATTAGTAACTAATCTAAATGTATATTTATTACATGACTTGCAAGTTGAGAAAACTAACATTATATATATATATATAATTTTCTCTCTCCATTTCTCCTTTAATGAATAATGAGAAATTACTAAACTTTATATATTGATCATATAATTAACCTCTGTTGAAGTTTAAAAGAAATACAGTTTAATTAAATTATATCAGTAACTAAACTAAATTTATACTTATTACATGGTTTGCAAGTTGAGAAAGCTAACACTGTATACCTTTTTTCTCTTTATTAACACAATTTATAAAATATTTGTATTTTTTCTCTTTTTTTATTCTTTATGTAAAAATATATTATTCAATAACTACTATTATTGCCTTTGTATGTAATGTTTATTCTATATTTATTTACCTTTTCAATCAACGAATTCGTGTCAGGTACGACCACTCTCTAATTTAACTTTTTTGCGGCTAGACTCATTACCAAAATTAAAGTGGATATGGAAAGGGCCCACCCATCTTGTTAACCTCCAAAGTCTGAATATATGGCGGTGTGCGCAACTGACATATCTCTTTTCGACTCCCCTTGCTCGAAGTTTGGAGCATCTGGAAGTACTCGAAATAGGCAATTGCGATTCTTTGGAACATTTAATCTTCGATGAAGCAGAAAATGAGGATCAAATAGTTTCAAACATGGATGGCCATCTTCTCCACTGGCCTAAGTTGAGCACTCTCAAGATAATTGATTGCGGAAGATTGAATTATGTGTTTCCAATCACTTTGGCTCAAGGACTTCCTTATTTGGAATCTGTTGAGATAACTGACTGTTCTCAACTAAAGCAGGTCTTCAATATGAAAAAGGACAAGGGTGGGCGTCTACTACAAGACATTGTGCTACAGAGATTGCAAATTTTAAGGCTTAAAAATTTAGAGATGTTGAGTAGTTTTTGTCCAGAAAATTTTGTCATGTCATTATCTTTGAAGGAGTTCGAAGTTCACAGTTGTCCCCAATTAACTGACCTTAAGACGTTGCAGGCCCATTTAAAGGTACTTCTCTTATATTTTTGTTTATTTTGGTAATAATTAATTGAATTATTTATCTTATAACACAAACGTCAAAATTCAGTACATTCACAACTAAATGTAAAAGTATTATATATAATTAGCTTCTGTTGATGTTTAAAAGAAAAAAAGTTAATTAAATGTATACTTATTACATGGCTTGCAGATTGAGAAAAACTAATGCTACATATTTTTTTCTCTTTATTAACACACTTTACAAAATCTTTGTATTTTTTTCTCTTTTTAATTCTGTACATAATAAAATATTATTCAATAACTACTATTATTGAATTTATAAAGCTTATAAATCGTATGATTTGGGGAAGAAAAAAAGGGGAAAATGAAAGAAAAAAAAAAAAGAAACGGGATGAAAAAGAGAGAAAAGAAAAAGAAGCAAATGTAGGAAGAAAAAGAAGGAAAAAAAAAAGAAAAGAAAAGAAAAAAAGGAAAAATGAAACTATTTAAAAAGTTTAAAATTTTATAATTTATTAGTATTAAAAATTAAATTAATAAAATTATAATTATATTGATTATTTTTTCCTATATAATTTTAATCTTGTTTATAAATTTATTTTATTTTACTTTTACACATACCATTAAGTATTTTATACTTGTGTTCAATTTATATTCATATAAAAAATTTATGGATAAAAAATATATAAAAATATATTTTATTGTCATGTTTTACCGTATCCATGTTTTCTATCTTTAAAATTTAGTTGTCGTATCCATGTCATATCATACCTGTATTATTTGTCACTAGCCATGTTTTCTAAGCAGTAATTATACTCAGCTTAGTTTGAATTATTTAAATTTCTACAGTAACAAACTTTTAGTGAAAAGCGAGGAATAAAAATATTCTTTTAACTCAAATCTCTTTCCTAACAAAAGAAATCTAATTATATGTTTCTAATGTTGCTGCTATTTTTCATTATATTGTGAATTTATCAGGATTTCAAGGAATTGTTATGCAATGTCAGAATACTTACCATGGATGGAATCATGTATCACAAAAATCTCATTCCAAGCGTAGATCCACAGGGACTAAATGAATTAACTTTTCTTACACTTAGAGATGAGAAAGAGCTGGAATGCTTGGTTGATACAACAGACCAAGGCCATGTCTCAACCGTTCCGCTGCTGCCAAATTTAACAAGTTTGGAGCTAGAGCTATTACCAGAATTGAAGTGGATATGTAAAGGGCCCAACCATTCGGTCTGCCTCCAAAGCCTGAAGGTTGCAGTAATTAGTCGCTGCAATAAATTGAAATATCTCTTCTCACCATCACTTGTTCAAAGCTTGGTGATGCTAGAACAACTCAAGATAGAATACTGCGATGAACTGGAACACATTGCCACAGAGTTGGAAATTGATGATAATATAGAATCAGACGGTGGCCTTCTCCATCCTCCGCCCTTGCCAAAATTGACATCTCTTGAAATCCATGGTTGTCCAAGACTACAATATGTCTTCAATGTGGCAAAAGAAAATAATGGAGTTGATAATGCCATTCTGCCACCATCATTGGAGAAGTTAACCATAGTGGTTTGTCCTCGATTTGCAAAGTTCATTATTCAACAAGTAGTCCACAAAAGGCTTCAACTAAAGGTAATCATATACTCCTTTCCTTACATTATGGTTTGAGATTTTACCTTTGGCCCAAATCTTTTCTATACTCATAAAATAATCAATGTTTTGAATCTCTTTTCAAAAAGGGGTTCTTATGTAAGTTTTATATTAGAAAAATTAGAATAAATCATTTAAGACTTATGTTGAATTCTCATCTTTAAAAATATTTTATGTTCAACTCATTGAAGACTTAGTTAAACTTGTTTGTTATTTAAAAAATAAAATTGTTCTGTTAAGTAATGGCAAAATAATAAAATAAGCACTCTAACTATATTGTAATCAATTTTTAACTTTAAGCCCTTACATTGTTATTGTGTGCAATTTAGCCATTTTACTATTTTAATTTAATGAAACCCAATTTTGATAGGAAATTCAAACTGGTGGCATGCATACATATAGGCAAACTTTGATGACATGGCACTCATAGAGAACATTTAGATAACATTTCACTTGCTTATAAAACAAATAGAATTTGAAAATCAATTAAACATATTTAATTTGTACATTATAATAAAATCTTGAGAATGGTATTTGTTTTACATATATACTAGCTTTTTTAACCGTGTTATTATTTTCATAATTTAAATTTATTTTTTAATTAACTTTAATTTTTTATATTTCCTTAATAAAAGAATATTTAAACTTTTATTAATCAACTATATATAATCATACATTCATAAATTTTAAGATACGATTAAATGATAGCATTCACATATTGTTGTTTTAAGTTTAATTTTTTACAAAATTTCAAAAATCCTTTCTTTTTTATCAAAAAATTAATTTTTTTATTTATTTTCGAAACACCAAAAATTTTGTTACTAACTATTTATTTTTCGATAAAAAAAGCAAGGGTCAGTCTTTTAATAGTCAAAATTAATAATTTTTTATGATAATGTTAATATGGATATTAAAAAAAATCATTTTATTAAATTGTAAAAGATATTTATATTAATAAAATATTCATAAACTATTAAATCTTATAAACACGAACCTAAAATAAAACATCAAATAATAATAATTTCTTTTATATATATATATTTGATTGAACAATAAAGCTTATATAATTATTAATTTGTTCATAGCCATTTGCTTTTTATTAGTTTTTATTTTTTACATACTTCAACACATATATTTGCTTTTATTAAAACATAAGTCGAAGATACGTTTATAAAAAAAAAAAATCAAATATACAAATTAAGAATGCATATACAGTTGAAATCTCTTGAATTTATGCGTAATAAATATCTGACTTAACTAAATATATAAAAATATATAAATCAAAATTTTTTTTGGAATAAATCAAATCAAATGTATATATCATATAATAGAAATAAGACCAAATAAATAGTTTGAAGGAACAAACAAATGGAGGAAATAAAAAAAATAAAATATGAAAAAAAGTAATGAACCATACCTAATACCGAGACGAAATCAATCCAAATGTACGTATGTTTTCTTTCCATTATTGAAATTTGATAAAAAAAAATCGATGTCATTTAAGCAAAAAATATACAAAAGTAAAAACAATCCAACACCATCACATATTGATTTTTGCAAATAAAAAAGAAAATAAAAGAAAAAAGAGAATAATAAAGGCAAAAATGAACTTGTTCACGGTATGATGTGGTTTACTCTTCTTTCTAACTTTTGTCTATTCCCATCAAAAGCAATAAACCATAATTGTCAAGTAAAAAGAAAAAGGCTTGTATTCTTCAATTTCTAATTCTAATAACAATAAATAAAATAAGCTTGGCTAGAAGGTGACCTCTCACTTTATAAACTCTTTATTTTCAATTTTAGATTCTGATTTCATCAAATAAAAATTTATTAAGTGTGTGTATATATATATATTTAAAATTATGATTAAAATTAAAAAAAAAAGATAAATTATGATTTAATATATTTAAATGCAAAACTTATGCAAAATTTTTAACCTTTGTTAGAGTTTGATTTGAATTTAAAGTAGTATCCAAAAATATTAAATTAGATAATTTATTAATAGAATTATTTGATGGTAGATAAAAAATATATTAAGCATAATACATATATATTTTGGACTATGATTAATTTAAAAAGAAAATAATTATAATTTAATATATTGAATTTAAAAATTTATGCAAAATTTTTTGTATAGATTATGATTTGAATTTAAATAATTATTAAAAAATTATTTAAATAATTTATTAATAGAGTATTTGATAAATAGATATAATAATATAACATTATCTACATGTCATAAAGAAAAATTATTCATATAAACGTGTATTAATCAGCACTTCTTATTTATAACTTTGTATCTTGTAATATACTATATAGATATATAATAGATTTGTATTTTGAAATCATAATATCTTTGAAACCATTGAATTATTCAAATTTTAATGAAATTATGACATTTTTATATTTATATAGGAATTACGATGTTCTGAGTTGGAGCAAGACAACTTGTGCGACACTATTAATTGGGAGAATATTTTTCAAATTCAAGATGGACACTTACTCTTAAGGATAGAGATTTTAAATCTACAGGGTATACATCAGTTGCAGGGTCCCATCCAAGTTGCAAGCCTTCCTTGTCTTAAAGATTTAAAAGTGTCAAATTGTAATGAGCTGAAATCCCTCTTCTCTTCTCTGCTTGCTCGAAATTTGCCGCAATTGAAAATTTTGAATATAGAGTATTGTGAGAAGCTGGAAGAAATCATTGAAATGGACCAAACTTCACTAGCATCATCATCACGGGGTCATCTCCAAACTATATCCTTCCCTAGTCTTCAAGACATACGGATTTCTGGGTGCAGCAATTTGAAAAGCTTGTTTCCTATTAGTGTCGCCCGTTCTTTTGCCAACCTCGAGAGAATTAAAATTAAAGGGCCTTCTAAACTAGAGCAAGTCTTTGGGTATCAAGGTGAACTAGACATTGAAGATGATCAAAAGGGAATAGTGCTCTCTCAATTAGAAATAGTGGATCTTTCTGAGCTATCAGACCTAAAGAGTTTTGCTCCAACTGGTTGTCATTTCCGATTCCCTTCTATGTGGTCGTTTAAAATAACCAAATCTCCCAAGTTGACCACAAGTGTCATCATGGATTCAAAACATCCTGTGCCTGCCATAACAGAGGTAACAGAGGTACCTAACCGACCTTTTTTTTCTAACTATTATGCTGAATTAATTAATTTGTTGTTCTTGACCATATTGATACTAATGATGAAACGATGATGGAAACAAAAGTTATGTTAGTATATAACTACATATTATTATGAATTGGATGACTCTTTTATATACATACACAAGTCATATGCATAATTAATTAATTAATTACTTACTTCTAGCATAACTTAATGAGAATTGTCTTTTGTTGTGAAGGAACCCCAACAAGTTCAGAATAATACAACAGAAGGTTTCACCACAATGGAAGAAATAGTTGATAATCAATCCACCTGCAATGATATATTTTGGGATGGTTTGAAAGATCAAATACCTTTATATATGACTTTGGGAGAAACAAGGATAATGTTACGCTAGGAAGTGAAAATTTAAGGAGAAACTTGTTAGCTAAACAGGTAAATATGGCTTTTTTCCATGTCTAGTGTTGGATTTACATGGCATTGTGGGTTGTACATTGAAAATAAAAAAATTTAAAGAAAAATTTTGTGTTGGATACCCTCAATATCTTTTTTGGGACACTGTTAAAAATTAGAAAATAAGAAATTTTAAAAGAAAATTTTCCATAAACATTCAAAATTTTCTTTTAAACACTATTTTCATGGATAATATTACTTCCCAACAAAAATCTTGAATCTGCCTCTGTCCATGTATTTATGATTTCCTTAATCAAGTTTCTTGTTTAAATTCTTACTCATTCTTTGCCTCAATGATAGGTGGTTGATACTTGATTATGCTTATCATCGTTGGAGCTTTCTGTTTTATGGCGCCGTCAACTGGTTGGATCTCTATTTTTTCAGTTTTACTTTGCAGTGAAGAACTAGTTTACTCTACATTTCATAGCATTTGCGTGTTTGATATTGTGAATAAAGTCATGTTTAGCCATTCATGTAAGACAAATTTCATCTATTTTTTATTTGGACTTGAACTCAAGCTTACATGTCTCCTAAATCCTCTTCTTATTGCTTGGCCAAGACATTGTTCGCAAAATTCATGTACTCTAAAGAAACATGGTTTTTTGTGTTCAGTTTGGTTTGCTGGTTCTTTATTAGTTCCTTATAGCAGCTTGTATGTATGAGCAGTATGTAGTTATGTCTACTTGCATAGATAGTTCTCCATGCTTGTTTTTATTGTGGTGATTTAATAATTAATTCAATGATATGTCGTTTATACACTATGTTATATTAACTCGTGTGATAAGACATCAAACATGAATAAATTTTGTTTTGACAAGTATCCTATACATATGAACAGTAAAGTGTTCAAAAAATATCAAGGCCCAACGGAGCCAAATTGAATTGGAAGTTAATTATCCCACAAATTTACATACAATATACTTTGTGGAGATTATTTGTTGTAGCAAAATTTGTAGAAGCAGCCCCAACAATAATACCAAAAGATACCATGCAATAATGATGATGAATTCATGACATTTAAAAAGGAAAATTAAAAATATAAACCAAATCAAAACATCTAAATGGCAAAAATACTATTATGTAATTCAACTTTTACATCATATAATTTTTTAAATTCCACTGAGATCTTTATAATTTTTTATTATTCATCTAATTATGGGAATTTTTGGGTGGTTAATTTGGAAGAAGACAGCATGCTACCCCAAGGCCATCACTTTCCTCAAAGGCCAAGGGATAAAATATTGTTGGAAGGAGCATCATTCTTTTTTATTATATTTTCTTTTAGTTTTTATTGATTTCGGCAATATAAACATATTTTCACTGATTTGTTAATTAATTGAAGATTGTCCATATTTCATCCATATTTTCGTGTCTTGATCTAGCTATATATCGAATATCATTCTTTTTGAACAGTGTGAAATGAAATTAATTAATGAAGATTCATTTGCATACATGTGAATATTTTCTCTAGTTTTAAATTTTGAATTATTTCATTACTAGATTGATTGATTGATTTATTATTTATTATTAAAAAAAATGCATTTCCATAGACAAAAAATTCAAAATATAAACCATTCATGTTTCTGGCTGATAATTTATAGCTAGCTGCTTAATGTTTACATACTTTTTTTTTTTTCATTTTTTCTTAATATAATTAAAAAGAATTTGATTAACCATGTTTATCATAAGTGCACCTAACGATTCACGTATTCATATAGTGTGATATAATAAAATTCATATATTCGTTTCGTGTTTTACATAAAAATTATGTCATATTTCGTATCGATATAAAAATATAAAATATATATTTTTTATTTTGTTAAATTTATATATAATTATTATTATAATTTTAAATTCTATCACTTTCATATTCTGTTTTTATATTATATTCATATTATATAATCATGTCATATTTTAAATTGTCAAGTCTAATCATAATAAGTGATTATGGTATTCGGGTCATGGGGAGGGGGGATTTTTAATTGCTAATTTTGAATTTCAAATTAAAACAAGAAAGTCATTCTCCTTATTTCTAGTTAGGATTATATATGATTTTTTCCGGTTATTATAAAGCAAAAAAGCTAGTCTTGTTGCCAAGCCTTCAAGAGTTCCAAAAAAAAAATTGCTATGTCAATGAAAATTTTAGGAAATTCTTTAGTTATTAATTTTTTTATGAACTTAATAGTATAAGAAAGTATTATATAACAAAAACATTGAATTAAATCAATAAATAAATCAACACATAATTAAATAAATTTAATATAAAATTAAATTAAATTCACATATGATGAGAATTGAACTTAAAAATTTAATATTATCGGATTTATAAATATTATAATGTTGATAATGCACAAAGGTTACTTTTAAAAACACCAAAATATTTTCATTTTATCACTAAATATTTAAAAAAAAAAAACAACAAGGAAAAAATATAAAGTGATAAAGTTAAAGATTTATAATATGAATTAAATTGGTAATTTTTATCTTTTAGTTTATATTTGTATCATTAATTTGCTTCATGTTGGATCACATACATTTTACTATTCTTTAAAAATATATAATGTAGTAAAATATGACTATAAAAGAAATTATTTTTTTAAAAACAAAATAAGATAATATGCTAAGTAAAATATTTCTTGAGACTCTACCTAAATATTGGAGGAACTCTTAATAATTATTTCTTATGAAAATAATATTATCTTTGGTTTTACGGATTATCATGAAAATAACTAAGTCAAAAACATTTTTCTAAATTTTATCTAGATATTGAGAAATTTGAAACACAAAATTTTTATTTTATTTCTAAATAAAATGATTCTAAAAAGGATGGCAAAAAAAAAGGGTTTTATGATAATAAATGGGATTTAAGACATTAATTTTAAAATTTAAAATTTAGGCCATTCTTTTATCAATATTAAAGGAAATATGTTATTAATTGAGACTTTTTTTTTAATCGGTACTATGGTGCATAAAATACTTTTTAGGAGGGAGTAAAGTATTTACACTCTTGTGAGATGTACATCTACAATGGCTGGTGAAATACTCTTATTCAAATTAAACCTTTTTCATTTGTATTCTATAATAGTTGAAGATCAAGGCACCTTGCTAGACTAGCATGGGCAATAGTGAAAAGCAATTTGAGAATCTTTAGATACGTAGAAAATCCTAGTCAAGCATATAGAAAACCATAAAGAACTACCATGTAGGTAGAGCCATGCAGAACCTTCTTCATAAAATGCACCAAAATTAGAACACATGAAAAAACACTTTTTACCTTTTACTTGATTTTGGACAAATACATGAATCGTAGAATAGGAGAAGTTTAATAGCATCTTGATATCTGTAATAGGATGACACCACCATTTCGAGGCTTCTGCAATACCTGATGAAAGCCTAAATGTATATATTTTCTTCAAAAAAAAAAGAATTTTCTTTGATAAGTAAAAAGGCAAATGTTTTCAAAACAATGAAACCAATTTCTTTTCCTATTTTGAAAATTTATTCATTATAAATCTATTTTTACTAACTTTTTTATTTTTGTGTTTTTTCCTTTTTGCATGCATCATCAAAAATATAAAATAGTTGCATTGAGGTGTATTTTTATTTTAGATAATGTCCAGCCAAAAGAACTACTATTGTGACCATGAAATCTCAGGATTCACTTTCAGTATTTACTATTAGTAAGACATATTGGGAAATTAATGATCAATCTGAGAATGGGCAACAAAAGGATGAGGATTGTTTAATTAAAGGACATGTCTTGTAATAGTCCACTTAGACCTATGTTAGAATGACTTGACTAAGTTGGAAAACATTTGGAATTAATGGAGGCAGAAAGAAAAAATGCTTTTATTAAGAAGTACATAAATATTGTGCTATTTATTTCGGTAAAGACAAATGAAAAGTAAATTAAGGTGATAATATGATTTTGGAACCTCATCATACCGTTGTTTAACTTTCAACAAAAAAGATATGACATTAACTATTGAAGAATATTCCACTTTGCTTCAATAAAGTTTCCAAGTCCAAATAGGATATACTAGAAAGAATAAAAGAAATCAAGTTATCAAAAGAAGCTTTATAAGATAACTGGTGTGGATGTCAAAGTGATCAATAAGAAGAAAAGAGTTATTGATGGTATCCCATAGGCTTTCTTTCATAATCTTAAATTTAAGAACCATAATGAAAAGCAAGTTATTGAAATAGTTTCCTTGGCGATTTATGGTTGCTAATCTTTTTGAGGGTATTAGGGCATGTCAAGGTATAAATGGTAGATTCTTCAGCATACTTGCATAAATATTTCAATCCCTCAATGGTTATCTTAGCAAAGATAATTAAATCATTGAATTGTTGTCGGAGAAAAGGAGAATGGCATTTTTTGGGATGTGTGCAGCTTTTATACATCTAGCTTCAAAGCCATTTTTAGGGCAAAGATAAAGTTCCGCTAAACCATACAAGAAATCCTAGTCCCTGTCACAAAGTTCTATAAAAAAGAATGGCTAAAAGACCTAAAAATACCTATACCTAATGGAGAATCTAATTTTTTACCTAAATGAAGATGAAAAAGGGTATTACATTGTGGGTATAGGGATAAAGATATATATGATTTTTAATTTTTATTAGGTATAGGGATGAGGATGGGTAATATAACACCCAACCCATATTTGTACTTTACATATATATTTATATATACTTAGTAAATAGATTTTTTGTTAAATGATATAAATTATTATTTTAGATTAATTAGAATTAATATATTTTTATTGAAAAATATATATTAATATATATTTATTGTAGACACCCAATCAGGTCCGGGCCCGGATCAATTGGGCCTGACCCGGATCAATGGGCCTGACCCAGATCATTTGGGCCTGCCCCAAATGGGCAAGGCCCAATTGAATTTTTACCCGTATTTTTTATTTTTTATTTTTATTTTATTTTTTTTTCTCTCTTGTGTATTTTATTATTTATTATTATGTATTAATATATGTATATATATATATATATTTTTTTTTCATTAGAATAGATTTATATGTATATAGTTATATATTTATTATTATTATATTATTATTCTTATCTTTTTTTTTAATTATCTGTTCTGATTTTTTCTGATTTTCAGATATTATTTGAAAATTTTTTATCTTTTGATTTATCTTTCCAATTATCTAGATTTTTTTTTTAATTTTATTTTAATTTTTATTTTGGAGGGCTAGGATTCAAAGTTGAAGACTCCCACTCTGAAGGGGAATTCAATCAGAAGAGTCCAATTGGATTCAAAGACTGAATTCCCGTCCAAAGAGGAATTGGGATTGATCAGAAACTCCTGATCAATCCCTATAAAAGGGACCCCCCTGGAACAGTCAAGAACACAGAGAAAACAGAAGCAAAAGCTACTGATTGAGAGAATAGGGGTGTTTAGAGAGCTAAGGAAAAGTTTAGGAGTGTTCTGGCAGTGAGAAAAATTTTTTAGAAAAATTTGGCGAAAAAATTTTCTGGAAATTTCTGGGAAATTTCCAGATTCCGGCGAAAATTCCGGCGACTTTTGAATTTTCCGGCGACAATTCCGGCGAACTTTGAAGTTTCCGGCGACAGACCCAGTTTCGGCGGAGAA